AACAAGCAGCTGGCAAATGACTTCAGCCTGTTCTCTGGACTAAAATCAAGCCAGTATACAATGTTACTATCCTGTCTCACGTGTGCGTAATTTTTGGTGGAGAAGCTGACTTTGTTTTGAATTCACAAGCTGATGGCGATGCTAATGACACACTGCATTCACTTAAGATGGTAAGGTAAATGGTTAGGCCAAGTGGAGTAATGTCAAATCAAATGTTTTAACATCTTTTGTACTCTTTTGTGGAGTGAAGGTGGCTTGTAAATTGAGTAGCCAATCCCTCTCTGTCATTTATATCAAAATTTCTTATCCTGTGCAAATCGCTCAAATATTACAGACACCCAGTGGTAAACTGGTGTTACCCCACCTGTCCGAATCCTGTCTGAATGGGGCTTTGGAGTTTAAATCTGTACTAAAACAGGCAACATCCAAGCTGTAACGTCCAAAGTAAAGAATGTTATTGAATGTCTTTTGCAGGCTTCAGATGTCTGTGTTTAATCTAGAGAGCTGCTATGAAAAGCTCAGTTAGCTTGATGCTTACAAAACATTGAATAACTGTGATCAGACTAGCAGAAATTAGCATCTTGAGCTTTGCATGGTAATCACAGCTATACTTAGCAATACGCATGCAAAATAAATGCCCACACAAACGCCTGTTTCTCACAATGGAGTAAATGATGTTAACGCATCAGAGAAAGACTGAATTACAATTTTATTTATTTTATGCTCTTTGCAGTCGTCATGAGTGGTGGCATAATGAATTGGGGAAAAAAAAAGTAAAATGTCCCCATTATGGGGTATTTCTTAGCATATTGGCAGGAGAGCTTAGGGATGTGTTAGTGTACTTCGCTTCCCATTTAACCTACATCAACGTCTGGATGTTTTTGTTTTTTTTGTTAACTCTTGGCCCTGTTGCACTGTTAATGTGTCAGCATTAGATGGCTGAAGGCAGCTGTACAGATACTTGATTGGCCGGTATGTTGACGTGAGGTGGATGGCGGTCATTCACACAGTGAAGAAATTAGGACATCCATTGGTTTAGAGAGGGCTAAAGAAAAGCAGTAGTGTTGTATAAACTGATACATTTTCAGTTTATTCCTGTAGGAAAAGTCACTGAGCAGCGGGATATTGCAGAGTTTGGAGGGCATGATGCTGAGTGCCCTTCCCCTGCAGATAAAAGTCTGTTCTCCTTCAGTGATCCATTGCCAGAGGGCTTGAATGGGTGCAAAGGCATTGGGATTAGAGAAAGTCACCACTCAGTGTAAAGCATTGAGAGTAGTTAGACAAGTTATATTTAATGTGAGAAACAGGTATGTATTTATTATACAAACATGTTTAATGTATTTACAGTGAACAAACAGTAATCAGTACCCCTCCAAACCAGGGAATGATATGAAAGGATCCTTGTTTTTCACAACATATTGAGCCAGATTTTTGTGATTTGATTCTACAGACCCACCTCAGTCTCTGTTAGGCATTGGTTATCCAGTCTTGCAGGTTTGTTATTGAGATCACTGATCATCATTGCACTATAACAGCTCTTGTAAGCTGCAGCTTTGTGTTTGAAAGTTGTGTTATAGAGCAGTTCTGTAGCACTCCTGTGAGAGCTGTTGTTAATTTTCCCCCCCTTGCCCAGAATGGGTTTTTACTGATTGTCATATGAGCTGCATTGTCCAAAAAATTGTTGACATTACTTGATGGATGCAGTTCTCCCATGTTGAGAGTTTTGGTTAAAATTGAAAGAATGTTGGGTTGATGTAAAGGTTTCAGTGTGTTAAAAAACTGCATCCAGTGTTTTATCGATAAATCCAATTTGTTCGAAAAGTCTTTTGCACAAGTCAATATTAAATTAAGAATATGAATGAAAAATACTGTTTCTCTGTGTGGCAGTGAGCTTACACCACGTCACAGGGAGCTTGCTGCTGTAGTAACAAGTCATTATTATTGTACTGTTTGATTGATAATTTTTAATAAATCACTTAAGGCTGTAACAATACACTCAGCAAACCATTTGATTCGATTCACATTACTGGGTTCACAATTCAATATTAGTATGATATTTTGAATGAAATTCAAATGAAGAAAAAATGAGGTTCCAGCTGGGGTCAGCACTGCCATTGGCAGCAAAGCCATATTTTAGTAACACAGCCATTTCAGCATCCTGATCATAATTGTTGTATCTGCTGATCTGAGTCCAAGCTAATCTCTATATTTTTGTGTATAACACAGCTGCACATTGCACACGTCATGTAGGTCTGGGCAGTGTGATATTTTATTGATGTCTTGATAAATTTTGTCACAGTTCTCTTTTCTGAGCATATTATAAATGTCAGTCCTTGTACAACACTGACTAACGACATGTTTTGTTACAAAATAAGCATAATTAGGCTTGTTCATTCAGATTTGTAATCGGGACCTCCAACTTTAGGAAGTAGCCAGTTTATAGTATGTGTAATTCAGACTTATGATCCAATTTGCTTGATCATTCAGATGATTTGGTTAACAGATACTGTAACATTTTTGCTATTCATAGTGCAATCCGCTCTAAGCTGGTATCTTCAGTAATGTACAGTATAGGTGCAGTGAATGCGTGATAAAATCTTGTGAGCTTTGTCTAATGACATGACTCTCTATTGCTTTCCTTTGTTCATGTAAAAGGGACTGGCCCAGCTGTTTACATCTGCCTCTCTTAGTGTTTATAAGGGAACGATAGTATCAAGGGATGGTTAATTTTAGCACTGCCTCAAGAGAGATGCGCACACACACTCCCTCCAGAGCCTTGTTACTGAAGTCATCTCTAAACTAGGCAATGTCTTCCCTCTACACACAGAACTAAACAAAGCAGTCTGGACACTATGGCACTGTGTTTGTAAATACTATGCTGGAGAGCATGGTTTCTTTTTTTTCCTTTTAAATGCATGTTCTCAAATGTATTTTAGATTTTTCATAGTTGACGATATCTAATGTTTGATATTTGGTGTTTCGTGGACTGTGTTCTTCACTGGGCTTTGCTTTGAGTCTTGGTGTACTTTTTGCTACCGCTGTAAGATCAGATTGTCAGTATTTAGTTTGGCACAGTAGTTTTCCATCTTGTTAACAACCTGCCACCCAGAGCAGCTCAAAGAATATGCTAAAACATGGTGCTCTTGCGCAGCTGCGAGTTGTTCTGTTAAGGCTCAAATCAAATATTTATTCAAATGTCAGAGCTGTTGAGTTGGATTTGGCGGGAGTTTTACAGACTGTGTCTTTACCGATTGACGTCACAGACTTAGGCAGAAAGAACAAGATACCCAAACACCCTCCTAGTGCTAATGCGAAGTATCATGGATCTCACCATCGGGTGATCTCACCATCAGGTGTGCGTGTTAAATGTGGAGGACACTTCAAAACAGCAACCCAAGTTGTTCAGATTTATTTGCTCGATGGTATGAAAATGTTCAAGTTGCCGTTATAGGCCCTATATCTCCAAACTTGTTGCACCACTCTAATGATAGAACATAACTGAAGAGTTAATGATCAGTGTCTTTCAACTACCCCAAATGAAGGAATCGCTATTAAGTGGTTTATGTGAGATGTTGCTTGTACCTGCATCCTCTGGTCTTTCCTGTGAGCAAAAGCTTGGGTAATAGCCCTGGGTGATAGGGTGATGTTATCGATTATTGTTGATGATGGACAAGTAACCTGATGACAGTGTGTATAAGATGATGGGAAAATAACTGAAAGAGAATTAGACCAGACTAATTTACTATTAAACAGTTAGATAAACTTTTTTTATGAAATGTGTGGGTGCGCACCTGTAGTGAGCTTTTTCTGTTTGAGAGAAAGCAAGAAGTTTAAGAAGCTGCCAGTTGGTTCTCTCTGCTACGCTCTGTGATCCTAGCTCTATTTGCTCCATGGCTCTTCCGCTTCTACTTATTTACTTTACGTTAAGTGTAGCTTGAGTGAATGTAACCGAAAGTAGATGCTGTCATGCTTCAGGGTGATTTGCTGCAGTAAAACAATAAACCAAAGTGACTGGACATTATCCTAGAGCAGATAAGTGAGCTTTAGCTCTGGAGAGAACATTCCAATATGATCAATATTGGAATGAATTGGATATATAATCAAGATTTTTTTATTAGCAAATATTGTGGTAATTATTTTTATATATTGGCCAGGTAGTGAGTTGTGGACAGTTTGAGTTCTTTCATTTCATGGTTTTACACTGTTCTACACCAGTGTTGTGAACAAGTGGAAGAGCATAAAACAGATTTCTGGGAGGATTTACTAAATAACTAGTCCTGTTAAAGGGACAATTTGTTTTTAAAAATGTATATGGCAAAAAGTGAATGGGAATGCTAATCTGACTAGAAACATGATCATGCTTACATCCTGGTAATGTTAGCAATATGGATGTGCTAACTGCTGGTGTTCATACTCTACTAGGATTTCTCAGTCCTGCTTATTTAGTCCATACACAAAACACCACATTAAAATAAGAACTGATCTTACAAACATGTTGTATAAAAGAGGTTTCCAAGGAATTTATATAACGCTAAGCTTTCATTGTCAATAGTGTGAAAGTGTGTTCCTTTTAAGGTATTATTTATGTAAATTCTTGAACAGGTTTTATTTGCATAGCATGTGTTGAAATATAGAGGACAGTTTGAATGTCAAGTCAATGTCAAATATTATTAATTGTTTATTTAAAGAAAGGATAATGTGTAAGTTAATGCACATAATTCATTTGCTTGCAATCATGCCAGTATTCCTGTTAAGGTGTTTAGTATCGAACCAGTGTTAATACAGAAGTGCTTACAAAGTTCGTTAAAAAAATGGGCACATTACTGACACAGATTACAGCATCTTGGTGGTATTCTGGCTCTTTGATTGGAGTGCAGAAATCATTGTTAGGACATCCGTGTCCTTTCTTTTTCTGCTTTTATTTGTGTCTGAATTTTCAAATGATATATTTGAGGTATCCAGATATGTTACTGAATCTCTCTCTTCCTCTCTTCTTCTAGGTGTACGTTTCGGTTCCCCAGCACTAGCATAAAAATCACATTCACAGCGCTGGCCAGCACAAAGAAAGAGAAGAGGGAACCGGAGTCTCCAGTGAAGGCAGTGCAGCCCCAAATTTCTCCACTGTCCATAAACATCCCTGACAACATTGCTCACCTGATGAGCCCTTTGCCCTCCCCCACAGGAACCATCAGGTAAATACTCCTGGGTAGATATATGAGGATAATAGGGCTGTAACAGTACATTGTGCCACAGCACATAGCGATGCAAAAACATTATGTGCATGAGGGACGAAGGCCGGTGGCGGTAACAGAAACCTCTTATTCGGATAACCCTGTAAAAAGTATCTGCAGTCAGCGGATAAACTGGGCTTGGGGGCAAGGTGGTGCAACACTTTCATCTGATAATTTGTGTGGAGACCCTAGCTCTGAAGTGGACATTGAAGTAAACTCAGTAATATCATGTGAGTTGAAGCTTAAGCTTTCTCAAATAAAATAACTTGAAATATAATATAAAATTTGCCATTTTATTTAATAATGCTGACGATGCTTCAAAGGCAATAATCACCTTGTTGGTTAAGAGACCTGAACTGAACAAATTTAATTTTAAACAACTTAATTAATATAAATTTTTATTTTTTCACCCAATTATCTCCCCAATTTAGTCGTCGCCAATTCCACCCGCTAGTTAGGACTCCCCCAATCACACGATACTATCAACGCTAGGAGGGTGAAGGCTAACACAGGCTTCCTCCGAGACCTGTGGAGCCAGCCACCGCTTCTTTTCAAACTGCCGCTCACGCAACGTCATTGGACAGCTGAACGAGCTCGGAGGAAAGCGCCAACCGCCAGATCTGTTACGTTAGCTAACAGACGCCTGCGCTGACTAGCATCGCGTTAAGTGATGGGGGGAGACGGAGAGGCCATCCTACCTACCCAGAGAGAGCGAGGCCAATTGTGGTCTCTTGGACTCCCAGCTACGGATGGCTGTAGCATCACCAGGGATCGAACTCGCGATCTCCTGATGATAGGGCCAACGCTTAGACGGTTGCGCCACTCGGGAGCCCAATATTAAATTTTGAAAGTTATAAAGTCATGAAAATATAATAATTCATGGTTTCTCAAAGGCATCTGTAGATGAATTTCCGAGCGCCTCCACTATAACGGCGGAAAACACCTTGTTATAATATTTAAATCACGTAAACATAGCTTTGGGACTCCCCCCTTAGCAGTCTGAAGTTTCTCCAGCAGGGAGGCATTATTAGCACACAAGCTGCTTTAGTGTTGGTGTTTTTTTTTTTTTTTTTTTATTATATTTTTTTTTAAAGAAGTAACAGCCATAAAAACCCCAGGCAGATTGAACCAGTGCATGTGTTTGCAGTAACAACTTTCAAAATGAGAGGTAAAAAGGTTTATCACTAAAAGATATTGAGTTACTCAGTTGCGATTTTCTTTATTATTCATCAAATCCATTAATGCTCAAAAGCATGTATGCTCATAAAGCCATATTGAACATAGCTGCAGTGGACCATGTTCATCTGCTGTTGTTCAAACTGTTTGAATGCATCTGCGCTGACCAGCACAGGAGAGCAAAGGGAACAAACAGCCTTTTCCCATTTTAATTCAGATTTGATTAGTGTTAGATTTTGATACTTCATTACTTTAATGTAGACCTACTTGTTTTTTGTTTTTGTTTTTCGTTTATCTGTCAAAATTTTGCCTTTTTTTGCCACTTTCCACCATTTTCGACATTTTCACAATTAAATATTTCAAAATGAAAAAGCCATATTAATAACAGATATTTTCACTCATTTTTATGAAAGCACACGTTTTGTGAGCTGTATGTAGCCTGACACTCTAGGGGCATGCCTCCTGCTACATTAGTATTGTAAAACCAGCATTGTGGTAATGATTAACCTCAAGATATACACAAACATATATATGCTTTCCAACACACCTACAGTAAGATGTTAAACTGTTACATATTTGTAGTTAATCTCTGTTCTGTAGTCTGTAGTAATTTTTTTTTTTTTTGTTTTTTTTAATGAATCTATGTCACTCCCAGAGTGAACTAGTCAGTTTTATCACTTTTTCCATCCACTGTGCTACCGTGCCTGTGCTAATCGGAACCCAGGACTCTGAGTTGTCCAGTTGGGTTTAAAATGCTACATATGGAGGATCCACTGTAGCTTTTCTAAGTGACAAGCATGAAATAGCTCTTAGGGTTCCCAGAGCTGCTCCCGTTACTTAGGAACAGGAAAAAACAGTGAGGTTCCTGCCTCTCTATCAGGCATTTTTGAAGCCTGTATCATCAGTGCAGCTGCAGGCCATGAAGAGACATGTGCATGTGTGGATGAGGAGTAGCAGTAGGGAGTTCAGTAGAAAGAGTGCCTGTTTTCTTGTTTGTTTGTTTTTACACCCCCACACCCCCACCCCAACCTTCCAGTGAGACACTTGTATGGCAGCCGTCTCAGCTGGCAGGGTTTCTGCCTCTGGCCCATTCTCCCCCCTTTACTCCCATCTGCACTGCTTGCTCAGTGTCTTCCTCACTTAGCTCTCACTAAGCTTAGTCCCTTTTTGGCTGAATCACTTGACTCCCAGCTTGATAGCATCATGGAATTGAATATGCCTAAATTGGGGAGAAAATTTGTCTAAGTATATATCAGGGTGGACCATGAAGCAACCTCTGGTGGTCATCAGGCCTATACTGAAGGAGAGCCATTGGTCTGTACTGTTCCAGTGATGGCATGTTGTCCTGAAAATCAGTGAAAATAGCAGCCTGCAACAACGGTACACTAGAAACAAAATATACCTCCCTGACTTATATACAAAGCCAGCTTTTACACAGAAGTTAGAGATAAAGCTCTAAACACAAAATACATGTCTTTTTCTCTTTTCTGTTTCACCTTTTTTAAGATGATTGAAAAGGGGTTTATGAACAAATCTTTAAAACTGATCTTTAAGCTACTGTTCAGACTATAATTCTCAAATCTTGAGAAATGAAAGAAAATTACACTCTTTAGGTATTGCTTTCCTTTGGGGCTTTATGCTTGCTAGTGATGAACAGGTGGGCCTTGAAGTGGAAAAGGTTGAGAACCCCTGGTCTAGATCATTCAAAAAACAAATCTTCTGCATAGGGCTGGGCGATAAAACGATAACGATAATTATCGCGATATAACTTTTCCTCGATAGAGCGATAAGACAGGTTCGATAAATGTTCGATATAATACACCATTCTCACACTTCCACGTTCAGCGAAAGCCTTGGTGGCGTTTTCTACTGCAAGGAAAGCGACACTACTGTGCTGTCGCCAGGAGAGGGCGCACTTCCCAGTTTTTCTATACATTCCCTGTTTGAGTGGAGCGACAGGTGATCTGTTCTCCTGTGACCGAGTGTGAGTGATGAGGTCAGTGGTGTAACTATACTGTCCTACAGCGAACTCACCTCTTTCTGTACATCCTAACCAGCTTTAGCAGCGTTAAATCACAATCCTCACAACTACAGCGCTGTTACAGCGCTCGGATAGTCATATTTAAGTATGAGTGCATTCCCAAGCAACGAAAGTGAAGAAAGAAGTGGGTTCATGCAGTTACGGCCCTGATGTAAACAAAAGTAAACTGAGGAAGCTGTGAGGCATTGGAAAGCGGGAGAGCGCTATCTTTCCAGGCTAGCTGTTTTTAGCAGCTGGCTAACTTAAAGCAGCGCTTCGTCACTCACACAACATGGCGAATTAATGATACTGTAGATCAAGCACGACACCGCTTTCAGTTTAAACGTACCTAAAAGGAGAACTCTGTTTGTCTGGTGTTGATATTTTGCGGTTCACCCCTTAAACTACTACAATTGAATATCCAGTCGTCGCTAGCTGGTGTCTGAATACTGTGATGTCATTTGTAACGGGGTAGCCGAGCGCTCGTCAGCAGCTAAAAATAATCTGTTTTCTTTCTTAAATTATGACTATTACAAAATAGCTGTGTTTTTCCAGCTGGTAACAGCTCACCAGACACTCTCTCCCACTCTCCCATGACAGATCTGTGAAATGTTCCACTGTTTGGTGAGTGTTTGTCATGTTCCGACCATAAAGGATAGTTTAAAACAGCAATTAACCACCCAGGAGCAAAAATCAGCCTTCAAACTTGAAAGAAATAATGATTTGACATTATATCATGTATCGATATCGAGCAATATAAATTTTGTTTATCGTGATAACATTTTTGGCCATATCGCCCAGCTCTACTTCTGCATAATGCAGACTTCAGTTATTTGCCATGTAGTACTCTGCAGCAGAATCAAAGGAGGACAGTGTCTTGACCGATTGACTATGTTGGTGTAAGGAAGAATTGTGCAAATTAGATTTTTCGGTCAAATATTTCTTAAAGACGGACTCTACGACACTCACTGATATTCATACCTCAGATGATCCGTAAAGTCAGTCTGACAGATTGCAAAAACTACAGGAGCTGTAGGGGACAATATGGCTTCTGTTGTTTTGTAAAAGACAAGGGCAGTAATAAAGGAACATAAACTAAAGAAGGGATAATACATCAGCCAGTTAATTAAATAGTCAAGTGTTAGATTGGTTGTAGAAATAATTGTTAGCAGCCCTAAATTTATGTCTGCTTAATGTTTACATCTTTCACTAGGTCCTTTAAGGTTAAGAACAACATATAAAAAATAATACCTTGGTTTGAAACACTCATTCGTTTGTCTATCTCAAGGTATCGCCTAGTTTGAGGGGGAAGAGCCCAGCAGTTCTTTTTGGATTGGAATGAGGCTCCGGCACTGTCTTTTGTACTTTACCCTGCTTGTATGGTTGCCTGGCAGGGCCAAAAGGCTGCTGCGGTTTTAGATCAGATGTTGCTCCTTTTAGCCAGCCGGTTTCTTTGAGCAGCTTGTTCCGCTGCTTTAGCAGACTAATTACAGCCTTCTCACATCAGATTCAATTTCTATTCCCCAAGGCCTGGCCAATTACAATTAATGCCTGACACTGAGAGGGGGCGGCACACTTGGTATATTGAACTAGGCATTAAATTTCTTCTGAAAAAAAAAAACATCAAATGGTTTGAAATACTCATCATGTTTGTGTATTTATTCAGTTCTCATGTATTCGTTTCCTCTCTGTTGTAGTTTGAGTGTGCTTAGCAGGCTGTATTATGTCTTTTCAGCCCTGATCAGCAGCTGCTGGGTTTTTCATGAGGTTTGGGGAAAAAATAGCCAGGCTAATCACTTAGTTCAGCTGCGGTTTCTACACTACACAGTCTGGATCTGCTGTGTTCTTTGAGGTTTGTAGTATAAAGGGTTTAGGTCATTCTGATTGATTCCAAAAACACAGTAGGTTGATTCTCTGATAGCATGCTTTGATACTCTAATAAGCTGCAGACTATCCATTGCCTGATGAATATATTTTGTAGCGTTGTTTATAGTTGCAGTGCAGTTTCTTCTAGAGAGACTTCTAGGGGAACAGGATTAGGGTTGAAACATCAAGCCAGAGAATCGGATCATTCTAGACAACTCAGCAGCAGCACTCTGATTATTCAGTAAAAAACACTTGAATTTGGAATAGTGTGAGTTGATGCTGTGAACTGAGCTTTTAGTCCTAACAGAAAATTTGAATGAAGATTGGTTCAACTTGTGTCTGTCTCTCTCTTTCTCTCTCTTTCCCCAGTGCGGCTAACTCGTGTCCGTCCAGTCCCCGCGGAGCTGGTTCATCAGGCTACAGGGTCGGCCGGATCGTGCCCTCAGATTTGCAGCTCATCAATGATAACTCACAGTCAGAGAACGATAAGGAAGCATCGGAGGGAGACAGCCCGAAGGTAAGAATTTTTGAAACACTGATACATTTGTGTACTGAGGGGATATATATATATATATATATATATATATATATATATATATATATATATATATATATATATATATATATATATATAAAAATAGAAAATACGATCTCCAGTCTTAAACAAGCACACAGGGTTCATTGCTACACTCAAATTATTAAAAAGTTCAGATCTCTTTATTGGTGTTTTTAGCAGTTGCAGTCATGAAATCGGAGTGCTGCAGCACCCTCAGCACCCCCACTTTCCAAATGCCTGTATAGGGGTCTAAACTAGTGACATTCAGTTGGTTTAAATGTTTACGGCTTCCGTTAATTTACATGATTTTCCATGATGCCCTGACTGCCCTATCGTAGCCACACTAAACATTTATGCCCTCTTCTTGATTTTGGTGGATGCTTTTCAAGGCTACTATGAACTGGCAGCCTTTGTACTATATACATTATACTTTTTGCATGTCATCTCGGTCATATCCAAACGCCAGCTGCCCTTGACATTGTATGAACATTTCATGATAAATTGACCAATACTAATGGTCCAACATTACTTGGAATAGAATCTTATTACTTCAACTTGCCGTGTGTGTGTGTGTGTGTGTGTGTGTGTGTGTGTGTGTGTGTGTGTGTGTGTGTGTGTGTGTGTGTGTGTTTCTTTCTCTCCCTCTTTCCCCCCTATCTATACCTACCTACCTCCCTACCTCTTTCTCTAGGATGACTCTAAACCTCCATACTCCTATGCTCAGTTGATTGTCCAGGCGATCACACTGGCCCCAGACAAACAGCTCACGCTGAACGGCATCTACACACACATCACCAAGAACTACCCGTATTACAGGAGTGCCGACAAGGGCTGGCAGGTGAGCTGCAGTCCAAGATAATCCACACTATTGAGAAATGGTACCGACATTAGCAGTAGGCTGAATCCACAGCACCGCAGAGTAGCTGTGCTGGCAGAGCATGACGGGGCAATTCATCCAGATACAGATTTCTAAGATTATTAGCTTAATTGACTTTTATAAATTGAATTTGGTCCCAGTCTTGCAACAAAAGTCTCACTCACACAGTTCTTTTTAGCATGGCTGGCCAATGAGTGCAACAGTTCAATACTTATAGACAGTAGGCTTATGGTCCAATTCTCTGTAAAAGACTGTATTTGGTAGTAAAAGACTGTATTTGGTAGGAGTAAAGTAACTGTTTTTGCAAACTTGGCAAACCTTTTGACTCGTTTAACTTTTTGACTAGTCTTTTTACTTTCATCTTGGTTCATAGTTTACAGTACCATCAGCTGGTGAGCTGAATTTAACTCATAATTGGAACAATCTGTTAACATCTGAACCTGATTTAAATGTCATCAATAAGCTGAAGAGATCTGAATTAACAAACGTGAAACATTTCCAACCTCAGTTGTTTATATTGTGTATTCCTGTGATGCCCTGAGTGCCCTTGCACAGTAAGTGAACATCTGTAGCACAAGAGCACTTCAGCAGCTTTTTTAATTTAGGCCTACCTGCAAAATGTACTCCGTGTGTCCGAATAATTAACTCAGTGTAGCACAGAGCTTGATTCATCATATGTCCAGACCGCCAATCCTTGCTCTTTCAGTGCTTTGAGTAGATGAAAGTGTGCATAACAAACAACGCTAAAAATAAATTCTGCAGCCCTGGAGTATTTCAGCTCTTTGCCTGATTCAGATGTCATTGTTTGTGATAATGAATTTTGTGTGTGTGTTTGTGTGTGGTGCGGTGCAGAACTCCATTCGGCACAACCTGTCTCTGAACCGCTACTTCATCAAAGTGCCACGCTCACAGGAGGAGCCTGGGAAGGGTTCATTCTGGAGGATAGACCCGTCCTCTGAGGGTAAACTCATTGAGCAGGCTTTTAGGAAACGAAGACCTCGCGGCGTGCCTTGCTTCAGGACCCCGTTAGGACCCCTCTCCTCAAGGTAGGCTGCCCGTCTGATGAGAAATGACTAGAGCACTTTGGAGATTTATAGGAGTGGTGCAGTGATTCAGGTCTTTTGTCTCACTTTAAGACAAGAAGCTGCGTCTCCACCTTGTGGACAGATAGAGATAGGACAGATAGAGATAGTACAGCTGTATATCTGAGAATAATATATATGATACTGGTGTTGATGTATCTGTATGATAGAGGAGTGATGTTTTCACTGGCACTGTACAAGGACTGACTCTATTTTGCTGTGATTTTTTTAATGTTATGTTTGACATTACTAGGAATTAGTGTTATTAATAACACATCAATGCAATAAATTACTACTATTACCACTAATTGTCTTTTAATGCTGTTAACACATTTTCCTAGTTTGACCATTTGAACCTTCCATAATTCCACCCTGGAGCTCAGCTAATTGTGCACTTTTCAATGGCAAGTTCCATTGTGGCTGTATGGATAAAAGTTATTTCCAGCTGATGTCAGTAATTCAGCAGTCTACACTAAACAGTGCTTGTGGGAGAGAAACTAACCCAAGCAATGGCAAAGTGAAAAACTGTTGTTCCCATCAAGATGTAACATTTATGGTATGACAGAGAGGCTCCAGTTGGAGAGGAGTTGAAGCACATGCAGCCATTGTTGCCCTCAGTGGGTGTTGGTGTGGAAAATTGGAAACTGCGTTCACCTTATTTTCATGTTCAGGTTCATGTGAACTTGATAAAAACAGTATTATTTAATTATTCATAGTAATGAACACATTCTGTTGAAGATTTTGTCAACAAAATGCAGTGCTTATTAAATGGGAAACGTCTCTGTACCATCTTGTTTTCCAGCACAGTCCCATTAGAAAATTAGGGATGCACGATATGGACAAAACATCATATTGCGATTACATTGCTACATATTGTTTTTGCAGTATGTATTAAAACATTAGGGAGCCATAGTATGGTTACATGTGGAAAGGTTGTAGATTGTAGTCCATTAGGCTTTTTGACTACAGTTATATGTTGATTACATCAATGATTCATCAAAACGCCCACCAGATGCATGCAACATATAAGGTTTATCAGGACACTAAGAACGCGCATTTTTTTCCCCCTCCTTGCAAAGAGCTTATGTTCATATTACAGCTTTCTGTGTTATCAAGGTTATCACTAAGGCCAATATAGTGATAAGAATTAATAAATGATGCTCTAAATGAAAATAATATAATTTAATTGTATTACTACTCACAAATTAAGTTTTTAAGTGTTTTGGTCTTTATTTTAAACATGTTACTCTTTCACTTTGTGTACAGGAGCGCTCCAGCGTCTCCCAATCACTCAGGGGTTCTCTCTGCCCACTCCAGTGGTGTTCAGACTCCTGACAGCCTATCACGCGAGGGCTCGCCTGTTCCCATGGAGTCAGAGCCTGCCCCTACCCCGTCCCCTTCTGCCGTCGCTGCTGCTGTGCAACCAAAGCTGGCTGTGATACAGGAGGCTCGCTTAGCACAGACCACACCAGGTATACACTACTTCAGTGTTTTGTTTTTTTTTTTTCGGCTCAGACTTTGGGGGGGCCAAGTGGTTCCTCGTTTTTGCTCTGACCTAGTGTATAGGGATCTGGGATAGAGCAAAATGTGGAACTGCCACGTGGACCTCAAGTACTGAGAAACACTGCTCTACACTACACCAGCCTAGCAAAGAACATGCCTGTTATGCTGGTATTGTTCACTTACCAGTCCATACAGCCCCTAAATGGAAACTAAACTGCAAAAACAGCCACTTTTGAATAAGTTGTTTTTGTGATGTCATGAAAAACAATATATGAAGGTATATTTAATAGGTTGTTTAGATATAGGCCATTTAAATAAATGTCATTTGGACATATAAAAATCAAACGTCAACCCTTTTTTTTTTTCCACAGCCATAAACTTAACCTCTCTCTCTCTCTCTCTCTCTCTCTCTCTCTCTCTCTCTCTCTCTCTCTCTCTCTCTCTCTCTCTCTCTCTCTCTCTCTCTCTAGGTTCTCCTCTCAGCAGTCAGCCTGTATTAATAGCTGTCCAGCGGCCGCTGTCTCAGGGCTTGAAGCCAGTGACATATGCTGTGGCCACGGCTCCCTCCTCTTCCTCCACGCAGCAAGTGATGCAGACTGTGCACGTGGTACACCAAATCCCTGCTGCTGTAGCCGTTAGCACCACTAAAGTTCACACGCAGCCTGTTGCTGCTGTCCCAGCCACCTCAGGACCCCAGGAGAATGGAGCACATGAAGAGGTCAAAGGTGAGTGGGCAAAGAGCAGAATGAACAACCTAGGATAACTATACTGTGCTCAAATGAATATGCCAAACTTTCCTAGCTCGGTCCTGTGGGTTTAGAATCCAGTACAGTTTGGTGATTTTCCTGCTTAGACGCACATGACTCAGCACAGCAGTAAGAAAACTGCTGAATACTGGCCCTCTAGGACTGGAACTGGACACCCTTGAATAAGGCTGCAAAATATGGACAATATGTTAGAACTGTGATTATATTACCACATATTGCAATTGCCATATGCCTTGTGCAATTGCGATATGAACTGTGGTTGGTCAGAATGCTTAAAGCCAACAGTGGGGGAAAAAAAGTGTTGTGATTGGTTAGTGGCTTATTTGAATTTTTCAGCCTTTTGCGATATCGATAAGGCCGAAATTGTGATTTGATGATTAACTAATGGTACTTTCTCTCTCTCTCTCTCTCTCTCTCTCTCTCTCTCTCTCTCTCTCTCTCTCTCTCTCTCTCTAGTGAAAGTAGAAGCAGTCCCTACTATCACCCATGCCACCATAGGCTCAGCCAATCGAATCATCCAGAGCAGCACAGCTGCCACAGCCCTTCAAACGGTTACCATAGTGCAGCAAGCCCCATTGGGCCAGCACCAGCTGCCAGTTAAAACTATCACACAGAATGGCACCCATGTGGTGCCCATCGCTACTGCGATACAAGGCCAGGCAAATGCAGGTAGGTCTCCATACATGTTTTAACCAAAATCAGTGCTTCTCAGTGCTAGTGCTGGGGGACCACTGCTTTTCATTGTTTGGTATTTACCCTTCTCAGTTCAACGCAAGAAAGGCAGTGTAGTAAGAGCTCAAAGTAAGTAGTAGCAGTAGTAATTAGTTTAACTGAGGCACTATAGTTTATACTTTCACTTCATACTTTCATATCCAGCTTGTCTAGAACAAGTCAACTGGTTACTAGACTTGACCCGTAAATTAGCTCTCTCCTTTATAAAGAAGTCTGTTGGTATAATAGGCTGCGCCTTCAGTTAGAGCAAATGATTCGGTGTTAATGTGTCCGAATCATTTGGGTCATCTGACATTGTAGTTAATAGACAGATTAAGAATGGCTTCAACTTCTGTCATCTAATTATTGTTGTATGACTAAACAAAGAACTCTTGACCATGTGCACCAGCCCTTCCCATAACCCTCTATGATACAAACCTACAAATTTAGTGTTTAGTTTAAATTAGTGTTTTTACTCCTTTACCCATCTACACCCAGTTCAACAGAGGAAGAGCTTGTTAATAAGCTGATGAGTTGAAGCTGATGTTTTGGAGAGGGCAGTATGCAAACATGTTAATATATTAGTAATGAGTCAGAATTTGTCTAAGATTTAAATAGTCAGGAAAGTGCTCTCTGTTATTTGTTCTCATATTAAAGAACTAGAGGAAAGTGAAGAGCCATCCTATGTTTTGGTCAGAGTTTCTTATCGGTTTAGTCTAAAGGAAAAACATAGAAAGACTATTGCAGCCTTCTAAGGGCTGCTGCCCACCATTCCAAATATCAAGCTCATTTTAATTATACTCATAGATTCTAATGGAAAGAAATCACGTTTGCTATCAGTTACCTAACTCTTCATGAACTCTGAAAAGTACAAGGTGAAATGCGAGGTGAATGGGCTGGTAACATTGGCTGAGGTGACAATAGACTATTAGTATTTGTCTCTTTATCTCAAAGACTTTAGACTCTGTTCTCGATACAAAATTCAAGCCACCTACTATGGATTTGTGCTTTGGGTCTGGGGCTAATCTGTTACTGTCTCTGGAGGCATCCAGTGTGCTGTAGACTTTAGCCTTGTAGCTTTTTTATATATAGTTGTAGTTTTTGTAGAAGAATAATATTCAAATATTTAAGTATTTTCTTAATGCCTTGTAATTCAAATATCAAATTTTACTGAAATGCCCATCTCCAATATTTATTCACATGCACACAGATGCATCAGATGAGGTTTGAAGGGAACAAGCCGGTTATTTAAGGCTGTGTGTGTTCAAAACTTTTTGTGTTTTGTTTTAATCAATCATTGTGTCCACTCTGTGTAATGCTTGTGTTTGGGAATGTTTACTGTGAAGCAAGGTGGACTATTATGGAGATTTGTTCCAGTAAACATGGACACAGAGCAGCTGGTTGTGTTTAACCATGGCCTTACAAGAGAGTCTCTTTTCAAAGGGTCCCTATCATAGAAAACCAAAAGTTTTCCACACTGTTTTCAAATAAGAGTTTGATCTAGTGTGCAACCCTTGTTACATTGCAAAAGATCATTCATTCAGTTCATACAGTCTATAAATGCAAGCCTGCTTTGAATTCACTGTTTTGGAATGTTACAAAAACCACTGCCTTTACATATTAACAGCTCTATGGCAGATTAGCACCAAAAGCCAGTACTAAAAACAGTAATTCTAAGGAAAATGAGAGGTTGGAAAAACATCACAAAAAAACAAATTATGACTGTTCTTGGTACATAATCGCACAGAAATGTTATAAGCGAACCTTGTAAAATGTAGGGCCTTTAAATACTGCTTTTCCCTCTTCTCACCTTATTTTCCTCATCATTTTCTCTTTCTTTTTCTCTGTCTCTTTGCAGTCTCCAGCCCGCTCCACTTGTTGGCAGCTCATGCCTCGGCATCCGCCTCTCTCCCTACCAAAAGGCAGAATGGAGAGAGCGCTAGTGAGCCCGAGAGTAAACGAGCAAAAACGGATGAGGATGAGCAGCAGCAGAGCGTAACCTCTGACCCTAACGGAACAGCAGACACAGACACTCCCTCTGCCAACCACAACTAGACATTAGCATAAAACACACCCCCACCCATCTTTCACAAACTTCTTTGTTCTGCCACACATTTTCACTATTTTGCCCTTTTTGCACTCTTCTGTTTGCTTACATTGTCACTACTGCCCTTCAGCCCTCTATTGTTGCCTCTCTTCTGCTTGCTCTCTCTTTCTCTCCCCCTGTCTCTCCCTCTGTCTCTCTCCCCCTGTCTCTCCCTCTGTGTCTCTCTCCCTATCCTGCTCACCGTGCCAAAACAAAATGAAAACACTGCTGACCATTCAGTATGTCCATATGAAGCAAAAAAAAACCCAATATATTCCAGTGTCAATGCAAACAAGGGCAGAGAAACAAGGACATTAAGAAAATCCACACCAAACGGACCACAGAAGTGGATGCAGTGACATGGGGGCACTTCTGTGTGGTGAGGCAGCCTTCACCAGAGGAAGTTTGTTCTATTATCAACGGCAGAGAGAGCAGCCAGCCACTGCCATCTGGGCCTGAACGCCTGAGGTGTGCGGCGTTTTAAAACAAACTATTATCATCAAACTGTTTAAAAAACAAAAAAACACCTGCTCCTACATTTGCTTTGTTTCCAACCTGGCTAAGAGTTTTCAGCAGGAAATTCATCTGGGAGTTCTGCTCTTCAGAAGAATGGAAATGACTTTTTTTTATATTATTATTATTATTGTTGTTATTATTATTGTTATTATTATTTTAAACCAAACACATGCTCTGATGTTTGTATGTGTGGGTCTCTAACCCTGGAAAGGACTAGAGAGCATACACTCACGCACACACTCACACGGTCTATACCTGTTATCTGGACTCTCAAATATTCAGCTGCTCTTCTCTAGCCATACTTGTACAGGTACAGCTCTACACAGTCTCACTCCCACGCAACTTAGCAAATCCAGAATCGATGACTCGAGGATGTTTCACAAAGTAGGAATTCTCAGTTAGCCGGATAACATGATCAAGAAAATCAAGCCGGCCTAGTAGGAGAGGAGCTAAGAGACATTCTTGCTGAGCACTTTTAGTTGGGGCCTAAAGGAATATTTCAGCAGGGTTCAGCCTAATCTGTCCACTCTACCTGTAGCAGAGATGTCTCTGGGATGCAAGTCAAAGTCAAGTCTTGACTCTTTAGTAGAGAATTTCTCATTATTTGTTGCACTTGTCAAGTTCAACACGGCTTTAAATAAGAATCCTTTCTTTATAGAAAAGCCTCCAGTCCGAACTGAAGTGGTACACGCAGTAGATAAGGTGCTTAAAATAAGGTGGCAGGACAATTTAAAACGGTTGGTTAGTCTGTCGTTTGTAAGTATGCGTGCTAGCTAGCGTTACAGCTAATCCAGATAAAGTTTTAGTATGCTTTAAAAAAATATGATCTGTAACTTACTAAAACTTTAGCTAGATGAGCTGACAGCTTCAGCTAAATTAGCTATTGCTAGTTTTGCCTCTTTCTTTTATGCACTGTATATATTCTGTTTAGTGCTTTGTTGTGTTCTTCTGAAACTGTTTTTAATGGAAAGCTTATTTGAAGCCATACCGAACCTGGCATCACTGCGAGCTGCGAGGAGAGTGGCATTATAGTAATCACTGCTGTTTACCTTTCCTTGATCTCTGTGTCTAGGCCAAGACTACTCAGGGAAGCTTTTCCCACAGAGTTTTTTTATTGTCACCTCGACGTAGAACGTTTTTGGCTCTTTCCTTTTTCCAAATGAATTAGTTGGACCGGAATGCCATTTAAGTGCTTGGCCTTTATTGCGGATAGTTCACTTATCAACAAAAAGAGTTGCATCGAGAAAAATAAAAAAGGAAGCTTTTTGCCTCGCGCCAGTGACTCCAGTTACCAAGGTAATAACATAAATTCACTACAGTACCCATAATACAGTGCTCTCAAACCCCAGGACTGAAGTAAAACTGAAGTACAAAATCATACATGCAACTTATTGTAAAGGAAAAGATTCATTTATGTACCAAGTTAAGCTTGGTGGCCCTAATTCAATCTGTATTGAGCCCCTCCCACCCCCCCACTTGTTTTGGGCATTTTCTAAATTTCATTTCGTTTTTAGTTATAATAGACTCTTGCAATAGAAGCTATTGACAGAACATACCAGAAAACCTGTTACCAGAAAACCTGTTGCCACAAAAACTTACAATTCAGGTTATCATTGTTTATTAGACCACTGGGTAACACATCATAGAAATGCCTGTTGGTATAATGCAAAACGGTAAGATCATCTGGTGTCACTGGAGTTGATGGGTTTTCTGTTTTTACTAAATACGCAGATGTGGTTTGTGGTATTGACTGTGTGCTACAGATACTGCGGATAGAGATTAGATTGAAAAACGCTGGAGTTTTCCTTCTTATCCAGCTTTACTGAGTCCTGCTTTGTGAAATATCCTGAGTGAGCTTTATCTGGTTTTGTTGAGTTTTACACAACATTCCAAACTTTGGCAGCTGGCTTTTAAGAACGACGCTCAAGACGAGGACGTCATAGGAGAACAGAGCACCAACGATGCAGCCTGGACTTTCAACCAGGGCGTGTCTTTCCTCTGTGTCTGTTTTGGGGTGTGGATCACGGGTCAGTCGTCAACTTAAAGGGATCAACACACTCATCCAATTCCTGTACTTTTTGGCAGCTAGCCCTTCGTACCACCCCTCCCCCCCCGCCCCACCATCGCAGCTGTTCTCATAGAAATATGCAGTATTTTGTTGTCCATATGTGGAGCATCCGTTTTTTTTCCCTTTGTGTACTTTGTGAACTTTTCATTTATAGAGATGGAAAAAAGACAAATTAATTATATTTCAAACATGCTGGCCGCAGAGGTTAAAGGACATTTTCCAGTTACTCCTCATGAGCAAAACCTTCTCTGTGCGTTTGTATGTGGACTTTTTTCTTTTATTTTTCTGTGAAACAAGTGTAGTTTCTTGTTTTTTTTTAATGGAGAAATATATCAGATGCGTTTGTTTTGGGTTTTTTTTTTATTTTATTTTGTCCTGCTTCTTTCTCTGTCGATTCCAAGCTGAAGCTTGCTTTCTTACACCTAATTATTTTCATACCTGCACCAGTAACCCATATGATTAGTGCTATGATATTGCCGCGTGTAGCTGAACCAGGCGCTTCATCGAGCTTGCATGTTAATGGACTATAGGAACACATCAGAGATGGTAACTACAGAAAAAAAACAGCTGTTTTTTGATTCAGACCAGACCTGCACTTGATTATTTTTATTTTTGTTTGTCCTCCTGGTTGTCCCCCCTCCTCGTTCTCTCTCTGGCTGTGTTTGACATTGTGCTGTAGGCAGAAGCCCCTCCACCTCCCTTCTGTTCTTGCTTGATTTTTGTTTGAATCTGTTCGGGTGACCAGTCTAGTCTGTTTCCAGATTGTATATGTTACAAACTAAAGAAAGAATGAAAAAGAAAAGAAAAAAAACACAAGATCGATGTTTGTTCTGCTTCAGTGGGTAAATGCTTTTATTAATTTTTTATATAAATTAATTTAAAAACCTTAATCTCTTGTGCCTCTGTCTTTCCTTTGCTAACGTTTGTTTCAAAGTTAGAGTCCACTGTGTTTACATTTCGGCTGTCTGAGGCCAGTTTGACTCAGCTTATCAGTAGTACTAGTATACAGTACTGGTCAAAAATCAGAGACCATCCTTCATTTCTTTAATTTCCAGTCAAAAGGGCCTTTAAAAGGTTATTCATTTGTCAGCGTCAGAAAAAAAAGATTTTTTCAGATCTGAATAAAGAGTGGAGCTAGGTTTTCTAAAGGTGAAAGCTTTAAGTGCTGTGTCTTATGGTGACAGTTTTGCTGGTCTGCCAGGTCTTCTGAGCCTCCGGCAGTTCTTCTATTGTCTGCCAGATGGTGGTAGAGTCATGCGTGTGTCCAACATCCTCTGTGGACTTTAAGGCAGTGTTGAAATGGCTCCTAGTGTGTTGTTTTTAATCCATTCACCTCACATCTTAGCAGAACTAAAGACATAGTTACATTTTGTGAGAGAAACATGTTATTTTTGGGGACTCTCAGAAAAAGTAGATATGTTTGGGTGATTAGGCTTTGGGTCAGGACCAGTTTGACCTGTCAGTGCTCTGTCTGTAAATGCAGTCTTTCATAGGTTGCATGATCGTACAAGCTTTACAGAACATTCCCTAATTAATGAGAAATTGTAGCAAACTATGTATAGCCTCGCTACATAATTCTGAGGCTCCAGTTCGAAATGCTGTTTGTATCCATGGCTGGATATACTACATGGGAGACCTGGCAAGTGTCCAGGGCATTAAAAGGTCCTCAAATAGATAAATTAATATTTTAATTATGCATGTTTAAAACTGTTTATCAGTTTTGTGACATAACTGTTGAAGCTCTCAGTTTGCTTTAAATGTGTTCACACAACAGACTAATCAGGCTCTGTCTAATAACTAGGAAGCTTCAAATGTATTGTCAGCCTGAATAGGGAAAAAAAAAATTTACTGGTTCACAGTGATGTAATCAAAAATCGGAGGACATTTTAGAGGCTGGCAAAAGTAACTTTTGTTCAGTGTTACAGTGAAATCTTTAATTTTTGTTTTGTATTCAACATGCTTTGAAACATTTTGTGATCTCAAACTGATTCCATCTCAACATACCCAGCTTAAATTTCTGAAAGCGATTCACGATGTAGATATTTAGAGTTGTGTTCTATGGTTTCTCCTTAGGTTGAAAGGGACTTTTGCCCAAGTTCGTAAGTGTCCACTGTCCACAAATTTGTCTTCCGAATCATAGCACCCCCATGCATTTTCAAAGGGTAGCCAATTGTGTGAGGGATTGTGGGATAGCAAGAGGCGCTAATATGACTCGCGGCACAGCGAGAAAAGTTAGGCTGGCTTCAACATGATGAAAACTCACGCATCAGCCATGCAGCACTGACCAATCAGACAAAAGCAACCTTCCATGCCTGCATAGTTGGATGACATGGACAAAAACTTAACCAATACAAAGAAGTAAAAGAAATACTGCGTGGCAGAAAGTCTCTGTCTGTCTTTTGAGTTAAAAGACAGCACTGAATCGTGATTATAGCAGGCAAATACTTACTTATAGCAGCCAGCATATAAAGTCTACTGAGCTTTAAGTTCATGAGACTTGCCTACATCAGAAGAGATAATCGGATTTTTGCTTCGCAACCAGCCCCTAAACTCTTAGAATAAGACGTGATGTAAAACCCGACCACCTTCTTAGTAATTTTAAAACATTACTATCAGAAAATATCAATAAACATCTTCTAGTGTTGAAGAATGTTCAAATTCATTTGGCATGTAGTTTGTTTCAACATTGCTCCGAAAGTGTTTTGTGGGTGCTGTGTTAAATGCTGCTTGCTATTGCCAGGACAGCAGAAAAATGAAAGAAATCAGAGTAAGGGTATACATACACTGAAAAACCTGATTATTTAGCTAAAATCCAGCTCTCTTTATCAGATTTGTTAACTGGAAGTGCATGTAAATTATCCAGGCTCCTATCATTCGCAATAAAGGAACACATTTGAAGGCAGAGCGTGGACAAGTCAAATAGGATTGCTTTAAAGATTGTT